CTCCTCCCCCGCCAGCGCCGGCGGGCTCCCCGGGCGCCGCCGCCCGGCCCTGCCCTGCCCGGGCGTCCGTTTCTCCGTGCCTCCCCGGCCTCCTCCTCCGGCCTTGGCCCACTGACCGGCTGCCCTTACTCCCCCAGCTCTCGCCCGCCCCGGCGGCTGCCGGCTTCCCTTCTCGGTTCGGCGCCTCGAAGCCTGCCCTCTCCCAAAGCACCATCCTCTCAGCCCGCGGAGAGTGGGTACCGCATCCCCACAAGACTTCTGGTCTGCCCCTGCTCACCAGGTTCTTCTGGTGTCCCTCCTGGAGACGCTGCTCTTGGCGTTTTGCGCGTCTCTCACCCTCTCACTCTTTGCCTTCTTCCCCTGATGGGTTTGTGCCTCAAAAGTGCAAGGAAACTTGCACCTGCGTTGTCCGCTTTTTCTCAGTCTTGGGAGGTCCCCTGTGGTCTCAGCGTCGCTTTTTGTGACTCGAAGGCTGTAGAGCCTGATGCTTTCTACCAACACACCTCCAGCTCCCCACATTCACCTCCTCGTGCCCATTATCGGGACGAGCCTCCTGCAAGTCTCTACCTGACCTTTCCGTCCCCCTTCTCCACTGCCGCTCCTTCCTCTCTGCCACCTCTTCCTCATGGCTCCCTTGAGATTTCGGCTGTCCCCTTCAGTTCATCCTGCACAGGGTGACTATCCTGTTTCTTCCCTACTAGGCCTGTGGTTTTCCCCTCTTTCCCTGACCTTCTCTTTCCTTATGTGCTCAGTTAACAGTAAACTACACCAGAGGTTACTTGCTCTCAAAAACAAAGGAAAAGAAAGTTCTCTCTGTTGGTTCTCTGCACCAAACCAGACTTCCTCTGTCCGTGGGGTGGGCGTGAGGGAGGATCTGTAGCCAGGAAGCTCTACTGCAGCATCCCTTCTGTCCCAGCAGCAGCGCACAAAATGACCCAACTGTGTAACAGTCTTTGATGCTGAGCCTGTCAGCTCACTGCCAGCTGTAAAGGGAAAAGAGCTGCCTGGGAGTTGCTGCTTGCCATGCTGCAGTCTCCCTGTCCCTCCTCCCCCCTTTCAGCTGGCAGAAAGTTGGAGATGGCAGAGATGCGTTTTTTCCTCCATTTGGGCATGGAATGGATTCGCCTCCCCCTCCCGTTATCCCTGCTGTAATTACACCCTTGGTAATGGCTAATACGCTGTTTGGTTTTACCATTGACAGCATGGTTGGTTACATCATATGGCAGGTCATTATTTCTTTCTGATCATGACTTCTTAAAAATTACTAAGCTGTAGGTAAGTTGGGTGGCATTTCAAGGCACAAGCTGGAAGACAGTGCCAGATGCCAGGTTTCCGCTCTAAAGAACTGGGAGTGAAAATGGAAAGAGCATCGCTGTGCGTAAGGTGTAAATAAAAAGAGGCTGTGTATGGTTATTTGACTGCTGAAGTAACCCTGCATTGACTTGTGCTGTCACAGGTAATGTTATGTCATGTAGTTATAAATAGATAAACCAGTTAGGAGCAAGGCACCTTCAGGTCACCTGGTGCCTCACATCTCTATGCTGAGCTAGACATGCTGTCTTTGCTACAAGTCCCAGAGGATATGCAAGTCTCTAGGTACCTCTTTCCTGCAATCCACTGAAAAAAATGATAATTACACTTAGCTTCTTTCTGTTCCTCCCCTCTCCCTGGCTCTCTTTAATTTATGTCTTTACTTTCAAACCTGGGAATGGAATTCCTTTAAAAGAAATAATTAAAAGAAACAGTACTGGTGTATCAAGAAATATAAATGAAAAATGTTTTAAGTAGTGCAAGTGTGTGTTTTCATTAATCCATCTGGCAGTGAGTAGTTTTGAGCTTTAAAAAAAAAAATTGCTTAGCAACCAGTATTGAGTGAGTGAGCCAAAAAGCAAGTGAAACGTGCCACTGGTACCCACTTTATTTCTGAGCTGTTGGTTTTACTCTTCTGTTTGCTCAGAAAGCAGAAACCAAGCAGCCTGGGTTTGAGAACTCTCCATTCCAAGGAAACAGCTGTTAGAAAATTTGTTTAGCCACTTTTGCTCGTACGTAGTAATGCTGTGTGGTGCAGGGTTGGCATTTGAAACTTCTGAGTTACGAGGCGCAACGTTCTTGAATTTATTTTTGGGGGGTATGTGTGGGGCCCCCCCCCCCTTCCTCAACTTACCTGCTTTTCATTTTCGTTGCTGCTGGTGATGTTGCTGATGTGCCACGGAAGGCGGCGGGTCGCTCTCGGTGTGCCGGGGTGCTGCCTGGCCTGCAGGCAGAGGGGCCCGACCTCCCGCCTCGCCGCTGACCCCGCCCTGGGGCGTGGCGGGGCGTG